GCAAAATTGTTGCCCCCCCCTGAGAAAATCTGGGCTTAAGATATGTACAAGTTTATAAGTTATTTATGCATATCTAATATGCATGGTAGAAAAAGTATTTTTGGATGGTTGAGCCTGTGTGCGTTTTTTTGATAACATAGCGCTCCAAACTATTAAAGCCTCAAAGGCTCATCTACAGGATGCAAGTTGAACGTACTGTATATGCGAAAATGCCAGTTTAGAGAGTCTAGTATGAATGATTGAAAAGCTACAGAACTATATTTGGTGGAACATTGTTGTTTCGGAGGGCAGTTAAAAATCACATTATTGAAATCTTGTTTTATTACATATTAATCAAAGCTCATTTTTCGATTTTTTCTTGTTTAATTAAAATAAAGGGCAGTAAGTGTTCCTTAGGCTTAGTACAGCAAAGTTGTTGCACGAATCCATGGCTGAAAACGCAGGAAATAGCATTTCCGAGGTTCAAATTTTAAAATTTTCTCGGGGAGCATGCCCCGTACCCGCCCAGGTTACAGGTCATTCATATACTGTACCTCCCCCATTTTCAAGTACTCTACTCTATCCCTGCATGTTTTCGGTTTTGGTGTAGTTATACATTTTTTGTAAGTAAACCTGCACGCTTTAGTGTGGGGAACATTAAGACATAACCATATAAAATAAAGCACAGTGAAAATTCCTTGGCCACTCTTGGGATTCAGTTGTCGGCCTCCTCTGACTGAAAACCCCGGCAACGTCAGAACGTCTCTGACGATAGCTATATGAAAGCCTTAAGTTACGATAGCTATAGATAAGCCGTTATTATGAGAGGAAAAAAAATCCCTGAGGCAAAAAATATCCTGCCGCGAAATATATTTGGGAAAAAATATCTTGCGCTGCACTTTTACAGGAAAAAAAAATATCTATCTTGTTCCCCTGGGCGGAAAAAGATTCTTGCACAGTCTGAATCTTCCAACCCCCCTCAAAAATCAAATGGTCCGCCCCTTAGCTAGGCAAGGCCAAGGTGTTTACTTTGTTTACCTATATTACGTCAGTTGTCAGACTGATCCAATAGTAAACAAACAAAAAATCATATTTAAAGACCGTGTCAAGTCCGTTCTGCGCATCAGTTCTGCTTTTAACAAAGGGGGACCCACATATATAAACATTGCCCAAATTTTGCATCTTTCGAACTTTTTTGAATTGAAACGTACTCTAGTTTATATTCATTTACAATTGCGAACCAGAAAGTGTCAGATATTCAGTTAGTATGTCATGATTTTGCAAATATAGCAGTACAAAATGTAAACAAAGGATTTGTTTACATTACGGACTTGACATGGTCTTTAAGATTGGTGGTACAAGTAGCGTACAAAATGGGGGTACCAGCGCATTCCGGCCCCTCAAAAAAAATAATCTCGATTCAAGCGCATCTTCCTCTCTCACAAGCCTCCCAGCTGGGACGAAAACATCATTCTAGAGCCACTGTATTCTAGACCTCGGCGCACACCATAGTTTCCTCTCACAGAGCGCCGACGTGACCATCGCGGATCATGCCTACGAGTAAAAAGTCTGTTGAAAACGGGCTGATCAATCAATAAAATTCGTTTTTACCTATTTTTTGTCAGGAGCATCACATTTTCATTTCAGATTAAACCGTAATAACTACTTTTTCAGTTTCGCAAAATGCGCTGGTATTGCATCATCCAATATGGTGGTGGGCATATCCTTCCCCAGTGATTCAACCACCAATTTCCAACTCATTCTTCGAATCCTGAACCATAAAAATGAAAATTTCTTCGAAAAAATCACGATAATTTCCAAATGCGCTCGTACCCCCAAGCTCTACAAGTTGATTTTCTAGTCTTGGTTTTGAGGCTTGTTCACAATTTACTAACTCAAATCACCTCTTCGAACCACCCACTTACAACCGTCTAAACACCCACTTACAACCGTCTAAAAGATGCGCTTGAATCGAGATTATCTTTTTTAAGGGGCCGGAATGCGCTGGTACCCCCATTTTGTACACTACTTAGTGACTAGAATCACCCGACTAGAACCCTCTAGAGAATGCGCTCGTACCCCCAAGCTCTACAAGTTGATTTTCAGGTCTTGTGGTCAGGTTTGGAGGCAGTATTGTCTACACCTCGAACGTGACCCCTGTTTTGGGAAACTTGAACCCCTCTCATTATTTTCCTGACTTTTGGGTGCTCTGGTATTTTGTCCAGGGAACTTAACATTAATGTTCCTTCCCTGATCATGTCTCTGAGTATCTCTAGGGCTTCAGACTCCCATGACGCATTACATCCACATATTAGCACTCTTTTTGCTCTGTCTTTCTTACCCATATATTAATACTCATGTTTAACCTCCATCAGGTCCAGCGTAGTTTAGAGACCAGGAGAAAGACATATCCATATGCTTACCTGTAGACATTGAGTGTTCAGGTATAACTATTATACACCAAGCGATAGCGTTAAGTGCGTCTGTTTGTGTGCCGAGATAGAATTCACTGTTACCCTTGAAGTGGTAGCAGGCTGTGCTGGCTCCATCACTCTGGTATGTCCCATCGAAATAAGTATGTGATAGTCTGCTCATGTCTATGGTTGCGAGTACTATTTCCTTCTTAGCATATGTTAGAACACCACTCTTAACTTCTGGGACAGCAGTCCATAATTTAAAGTAAAAAAGGACATCTGTTATGTCCTGAAATCTGTCTGAGTTTGTTTTCACTGTTATTGATTCAAGATTGATGTTAGTGTTAACATCAATCCTATCACTTCTCCAAGCTGGTGGGATTCCATCGTGACAGTAGGCGTAATACCTTGTTGTTGCAGTTGATACCCCTCTATAACCCCAGACCCAGGAGCTTGACTTATGGTGGTTCTTCCTAACATACCTCTTATCTGCATATTCTGTATTTATTCCTGATTTTGAGTCGGGTGGTGTCATGTAGACGTTCAGGATGCTTGATCCTTTAAAGTCAATGTCACCAGTTGATTTGGTGAATCTGTCTTCTACCCACTTTTTGTTTACTGCGTCGCTGTCGTCGGTTGGGTTTATGAGATTAACTGTTTTGCTTGAGTCTCCCATGTTAATATCACCTTCCACCAAACCCCCAGTGTTGTCCATGAATCTATCTGTTGCCCACTTCTTTCCAACCGCTGAATTGTCTGTTGTTGGATCACCAACTCTTGTCTAGGTTGCTAAGCTAAAGTAAAAGTTCCACCATTCCTTTTAAGGAACTGCAATCCCCAGGTGTTAATAACACTATATGAAATCGCATCCGATCCACTTCCAGTGTCGGGTAAGCCTGTAATCTTATTGCTGTCTATGTTAATGTCACCAGTCATGGTGAACCCATGCAGTTGGTTGGAGCCCTGAAGTTGGTTGTTTAGCTATCTCATCATTAACCCACTTCTTGGAGACAGCAGATCCATCAGTTGTAGGGTTAGCCACACGAGTTATCTCAAAGTTGTTAGCATCAAGGTTACTTGCTAGCGTACCACCATCACACTTCACAAACTGTAACACCCAAGTGTCAAGCGTCTTACTTGACAGTGCAGCTGTGTCTCCCACAGAGCCCTCTGCAAGTCCCACTACACTATGCCCTCCCATGTCAATATTACCTGTCATCGTAAAGCCACTACTAGTGAGAGAACTTCCACTCACATGATCAGTGACCCACTTCTTATTCACAGCGGACTTACCCGTTGTTGGGTCACTCAGATTTTTGATCTTATGATTTTTCATATCAATGTCTCCAGCAATGTCAAGTCCAGAGACAGGTCTATTTAGAGCTCCGGTCATGTATTCCAGAGTAACAGCGGACCGGCTAGTTGTGGGATTACCTAAAGCTCTAATTTCGTTGGATCCCATATTGAGATTACCCAACATTGCTCTCGTACCATCCAGCTGGAGGTGTTTTATGCTTTGAAGTCTAACGTAACCCAGAGTTGCAGCATTCTTTTCATCATCGCCAGGGTCAAGATCTGATATCATATTACCACCCATATTAATGTCTCCAGTCATAGTGAAACCACTGGCGCTTACCGAACTACCGCTTATGTGATCGGTAACCCATTTCTTGGAAACAGCAGACTTCTCAGTGCTGGGATCTCCCAAGTTTCTAACCTCATTACCTCCAACATCTAGGTCATCGGTTAGTGTGATACCGCTGTAGATCTCCCTTTTCCTTCTACTTCTGATGATTCTGTTCTCAACCCACCCCTTTGACACAGCTGAGTTCTCAGTTGAGGGGTTAGGTAAGCCTTTAATCTCATTAGTTCCCATGTTTACTTCACCACTCATTGTTCCACCTGACTTCTCCAGGAAACCTCTCGATCCGACTTCAGTTTTCACTCACTCTTTTGACACAGCTGAATTTTCAGTTGTTGGGTCACCAAGGTTTAGTATCTCATTACTACCCATCTTGATGTCACCAGTCATCGTGAATCCAGAGCTTGACAGACCTTGAGGTCCACCCTTTGATATCTCCTTATCAACCCACCCCTTCGACACAGCTGAGCTCTCAGTTGAGGGGTCAGGTAAGTTTAGTATTTCATTATTTCCCATATTGACATCACCAGTCATTGTGAACCCGGGGTTGATTAGTTCAACTTCAAGTGATTTCTTATCGAATCCGAAGAATAGACTCATCTTATATTATAATATATATTTTAAGGTGATGAATGACACTAATTCACTAACTATAGTTATAGTTGTTACATCTATTTGAGAGCCTGGTTTTACAGAAGATGGTGTTTCGTTAGTGGGTAAGTGTGAGGTTCTCTGTATGTTTGGGTGGGATAGCGGTCTGTCTGAGGGATCAGTGTTTTTTACTGTTTGGGTTGTGTCATCACTATCCAGGGTATTCAGATGGTGAACAGGAGTACTTTCCTCCGAATGTTTCTTAGGATGTTCCTTCTTCTTTACTCCAACGTAGTTTAGTCTAGTATTAATCCCAAAGGTAGTCGTCTTTGTGGGACTTGAGAGTATATTATTATTATCCAGGAATAGGTGTTTCAAGAATTATTAGCCTAGAGGGAATAAGTATTATGTTAGGATTGATTGCCATATTAAGTATCACATTAGTGTCCCTTATAGTTGTCCTCATATTGCTAATGGTAACGTTCACATTAGTTTGCACCACAGTGTCGTTAACGATTCTTCTAAATACCTGTTGCGTTTGGAGCGACTTACCTAATTGACTACTAACAATACTCCACCTTGTCTTAGCTTGAGCTCCCAACACAGAATAAACATAACTTTCCACACTATCCATAAGCAGCTTTACTCCAATCACTGTGATACCATTTGACTTGTACGGTATAAAGTGCATATGGTCGGAATTAGAATAGTTTACCCAACCGATTTTCACATAAGTCCCACCACCATGTGAAGCTCCATTGAAAGCCTGAATGCTAATACGGAGATGTCCCTTCATTCCACTAATATCATAGGCTTTCATAAGGGAGGGATTCTTTATAAATTTCTTCATTGTGTAATAGAGATGGTACCACACGATGGATGTAATTTGCTTAGGAGTATTATCATCCCATTTCAAGTTATCAAGTGATATTCCACATAGGAAGATCGCAATGTATGCGGAGCATATCTGAGCAAAATACGGTTCATTCTCATAGTCCATGCTGACGTTGCGTATATCAGATTCAACATCACTGGGGAGTTCATCGGTTCCTCTATTGTTCTCATAAAGCACTGCCTTATTTTTCCAATCGTAAAGTTTTATAGGGTTGAATTTAGAATAGAAGTAATCCGTATCAGAAACATACACCTTGAAATTATGCTGGGGATACCCAAGATTAACCGCTTTCTGGAAAACAGGGTAGTGGTGAATACCCCATTCATGCTTAGTTTCTCTTAAATTAGTGAACGGTGGAACTGTGCCACCGGAGTCCCAGATTTTGGGCCATTTATCCAGTTCTTGTTTTGTTTCCACATGGTGGTCGGTGTTGAGTGTGTCACTAACAACCTTTGTGTGTTTAGCCTTCAGTTCTGGTTTTATTTTCACATAGTGGTCGGCGCTGAGTATATCACTAACGGCCTTTGTATGTTTGACCTTCAGTTCTGGAGCATCACCTCTCGTGTAACTCTCATCCCCAACGTAGTGTCTTTTACCCCCAACAATAATGTATATATCAACTCCATCCACATTCCCATCATAATCGATAGTGGGTTCGAAAACATATCTGCTAGCGTTTTCCCTTGCTTTTGGGTGTAAAGCGAAGTATTTTTTCGAGTATTCAACCTGCGCACTTAGGTAGCGGTCCCTAACATCGTCTCTATTCATGAGCACACTTCTACGCTCCGCAGTTAAAACTCTTTTCATATTATATAACATACCTTATGTTATAGAATGAGGAAATTTACGGTTTTAATTGATAGTTACAGGACGGTTGTGAACTTACAGGATTCAGTACTAACAAGTAAGTATGAGTTTGTCTTCATAAAGAGAGCGACTGTCTTCTGGGAGTATTATAACGTTACTGAACAATTCAGTGGATTTAGAGTTAATGACAACGACGCTGTAATGTACTCTGGTTACTACACTTTCAAGGATGTTCAGAAACTGATGATGTATAATGGAGGAGTTGACTTACAACCTACTAGTACTAACGGTGGGTGTTACATCAAACCTGGTAGTGGCAATTCCGTTTGCGTGTCAACATACCTGTCGAGACTTCTTGGGCTAACGATGAAAGACAGTGAGGTGGTTATTGATCCAGACACAACATATGCTAGTAAAAAGAGGATGAACATAAATCTTGGGCTGGAGTACATCAACATATCATGTAACTTAGTTAATGAGAGCTTTAATGTTCACACTGAGGGTACCAGAAGCGATGTGGTAACCTCACTAGCTGTGACAACAACTCAGTCCTTGTTCGGCTCGGTTACGGAGTACTTTGACATTGAGAGCAAAGTGCCAGTTAACAAAGGTTCGTTCAATCAGCTGAAGTTCTACGTGACAGACCAAGATGGAAAACCAGTAGAAATCGGTAAGATCCTGCTTGAGTTATACATTGTGTAATTCATATGGAAAAGGACGTAGAGTTGGAGCAAGAGCTGAGGGACATCTACTACAATCCCAAAACAGGGTACCAATCTGCTGAAAGACTTTACCAGAAAGCCTTAGCTGAAGGTTTGAGGGTGACCAGGAAGCAGGTGAAACTATGGCTTAAATCACAGGGTACATACACCAGGTACAAACCAATTGTTAGAAGACATAAGTTCAGACAAACATCAGTTGAGTATCTAGGGGAGCAGATACAGATGGACTTAGTTGATATGAATAAGTATAGAAATAAGAACAAAGGGTATAACTGGATATTAACTGCTGTTGAACTTTTGAGTAGGTACGCCTTCACAGTTCCAGTCCTTAGGAAAGACACAAACAATATGACAGCAGCAGTTACAGAGTTGCTAGGACAGTTTAAGGGTCGTTTTACTGTTTACCCTAAGTTAGCACAGTTTGACGATGGTAAGGAGTTCTATAATGTTGGTGTTAAGTCATTGTTGGAGAAGGTCGGTGTTAGATACTTTTCCACCTACTCAGAGAAGAAAGCAGCCGTTGTGGAAAGATTTAACGGAACCCTGAAAACCTCAATGTGGAAGTACTTTTACAGTAAGGGGACCTATAACTGGGTTGATGTTCTGCAGAGTCTAACTGATAGTTATAATAACACGAAACACAGATCTATACTGATGAAGCCAAGCAATGTCAGCGAGGATAATCAGGGTGAAGTCTGGATGACACTCTTCGGTCACAACTATGGGGACTTACCATTACCAAAGTTTAAAGTTGGTGACACTGTTAGAATATCCAGGTATAAGTCGATCTTCACAAAGGGATACGAAGCAAACTTTACAGAAGAACTATTCAAAGCGACTAGAGTCTTGCGTGGGCACCCAAACGTTTACGAGGTAGAAGACTTGGAAGGTGAACCAATAAGTGGTAAGTTCTATGAGGAAGAGTTATCAGCTGTCGAAAAGAATAATGATGTGTACAGGGTTGAGAAGGTACTGAAAAGGAAGAAAGTGAGGGGAAAGAAAATGGTTCTCATCAAGTGGCTGGGTTATGACAGTAAACACAACAGTTGGATTCCTGAGAGTGACCTTCAGAATATCAGGTAGGTATATAATGGCTGAGGCAGAGTTTGAAGACCTCGAAATGAAAGACATGGAAGACAAGTACCCTGAGTACGACAACAAGAATTACGAGGAACTGTTTAGCGATTTCCAGGATCTCACAACGAGACGTGATAGAATAATCAATAACAGTAGTCTTGATCCAACTGATATTGATAGTGAGATTAAGTATGTGGAAAGTCTCATGGAAAAGCTGTCTTCTAATCAACAGAGCACGTCATTCACTAGCGGTGATGATGGTAGAACGGTAACGATAACGAATAGTGGTAAGGAGGTCACTGCACCCGCTGTTGAGTTCGCGGATGTGTCCGACCGTCCTGAAAATGATATCAGACCAGCCGTTGAAGACTTTATTAGTAAGCACTACGATAGGCGAGACTTCAAGCTTAACTTACACAGTGATAAAGTATCCGAACTACGATTAAACCTTAACCGGACTGGGAACAACAACATAACATACCGACCCTTAACAAACAGAAACACACGTGGTAAAGCACAGATAGTCCTGAAACGTGATGTTAATGGAGATTTATAGTACAACAAAGCAAATGTTGCTGAGGAGGCGGTTGCTCAGTTCAAGCGACATGTTGATGATATACTAAGTGAGCACGCCACTAACTTCCCAATGATCGAGACAGATATTGATCGACCTCATATACAAGGTCTAGCCCAAGAAGAAAACCGAGATTTAGAAGGTGTATTGAACCCATCCGATTCCGTAGACACACAGTCACGTATTGGGGACAATGGAGCTTTACAAATTCAAGCGGACCACTTTCGGGAAGCACTGAACAAGACAATTGATCAAAGGGACAACACAGAGAACCCTGAGGGGGTCATAGAGTTAGAGGAGAGAATAATTGCTCTTAGAAAAGCTATGATGAGAACACTCCAACAGAGGGAGATAGAAGAAGTGAGAGCACAGCAGGAAGAAGATGTTAGTAGACTGCAAAGGTTTAAAGAGTGGGCTAAGGAGAATATGCTAGGTTTGTCTGCCATTGCTATCACAGTCGCTGGAATTATCACAACGGTTGTCATAGGAGCTCGAACGGCTATTATTAAAGGTGCTCAGGCCACAAGTAAGTTCGCTAAAGCTCTTGCCAACCTAGGGAAGAAACTGGGACCAACGCTACTACCACTGTTTAACATGCTGGCGAAGCTTGTGTCACTAGGTGCAAAGGGTCTGGCTTGGTTGGCAAGCAATCTGTGGGTCCTAGCCATTGCGGTCGCTTGGTTTGCATATGACTACTTTAAGGAGAGGAGGAGAAAGAAGTAAAACATCACTAATATTATAAATGAATACAACTGAGTCTGAGTTGCAACCGGGATTTCGTCGGAAGCAGATGTCTTCAATTAAAGGCACCAGAACAAGAAGTGTAGTAACGTTTAATCCAAGCACGGTGAGTCCAGGTGAGGAACTATATATTGACATACCAAAGTTGAAACCCGACAGTTGTCTAGTACCAGGTACTTTCAACCTACTGTTCGACTTTAAAAACGCTAACACAAAAAGTTGGTTTCTCAATAACTTAGCAAGATTGTTAAGTCAAAGACTACAGATAAAACTAGCAGGTGAGACAGTATATGACTGCTCAGGTGAGTGTCTCTATGGTGTGTACAAGGACATGTGGCTAACTGAGGGTGACAGAAACAAGATGATAGAGTGTGGGTTAGCAGATGAGAACCTAAGGAAGCTAATGTCAAAGGACGACTCAGGCGCTAAAACTGGTGACGACACCAAAGTGTCAGACGCTCTGATGTTCTCAGTCTATGGGACCAAGTTGAAGGTACCTCTAGACAGAATCATAGCAGACCATGGTCTGTACGCACCCTTCAGAATGAACAACAACTTTATGTACGTACTGACTCTACCCAAAGCCTCAGACATAATGATTGCCCAATCTAGTGAGGCAGTTGGTGGCTACACATTAGAGAATCTAGAATTAGAGTATGAGACAATAGAAAACCAAAGTGTTGCAGATGAGATTTCCAGTATGTACTCAACTGGTAGGAGTCTTTCCTACCAACACGTTACACTAATGAGAACGAGTAACTGGGCGAAGGATCTAACCATAGTCAATGAGAACGTGAATCTTCCAAGGAAGAGTATGGCAGCTATTGTTTTACTCTTTACCAAAAAGACGAGGACCGACTCTGAGGAGTACCTTTACCCTAACATTGAAGAGGTTAAGATTACGATAGAAGGTGTGCCTAACTCCATATTTTCACAGAGACTTCCAAAAAGCAGGTTCTTCGAAGAGGCTAAGAGATTCTTCTGCCCATCATGTGAGAAGGTAATGGCGGATGAGTTCATGTCTATCCAGAAGTTCTTCAAAGATGGGTTCGCCTTAGTTATAGACCTTAGTAATAGAGTAATGAGGACGATGTAACAGGGAATGGTAAGAAAATCGTTAACACACAGAGTGGAGTTCTGCTGGAGATTAAGAAGAAAGCTACAACTGAAGATGTGGTGTGTAACCTGTTCGTTGTATCAGACGCTCTGGTGAACTTTGTCAACAGGGACCTGAGCTCAATTCAGTACTAGACATGAGTTATTCTATAAAATGCTAGAGACACCTTTCAACATGTTGGTTGTTGGAATGACAGGTTGTGGTAAGACTACATTCATGCTGGAAATGTTAGAGAGGGAATACATGAGACATTTCGATCACATAGTAATAGTCTGCCCAACACTGGATTGGAACAGTACATATCAGAATTGGAAGTATCTCAGCGACAGGGATGTAGTGACTGTCCCATGTGGTCATAGTATGGTTGAGAAGACCCTAAGCACAGTGTCGGGTGTATACAGAGGGTCAAACACTTTGGTAGTTGTTGATGATTGCGCGAGTGGTCAGGATGTGAAGAATAGGGTCTCCGAGATTGTAAATCTAGCATTCAGCGCTAGACACTATGGTTTGAGTACGATAGTTCTAACCCAACAATTAACATTAGTAGCCAAACCATACAGAGAAAATATTAGTAGACTGGTAACATTTTATAATCCTAATAAGCATGACATGAAGTCAATTGTGGATGACTATCTGAATGGAACGACGCAGGAGGAACTGACTGAGATAATCTCTGCGCTCGATATAGTATTAAGATATCCATTCAGCTATAACATAACCTATAGTAGTAATGTCAAAGCGCAAAAGCAAACCAACAACAGTAGAGGAACTGGAGATAGAAATGGAAGCAGCCGCTGCTGCAGTAGTGAGTGCCGCTGAAGATGTAGAGGTTACACTTCCAGATACGCAGAAAACCGCGGACACCAGCCCAAGCATCGAGGAGAAAAGGGCTGCTCTGATAGTCATGTCGGAGGATGGTGAGCTGGAAAAGTCTGTGGAGCTTATCAGAAAGGCAAACAGAAAGACAATAAATAAAATTTATCAGGAGTGTGAGAGAAGGAGAAAAAGGAAGGCGGATGAATTTCTGACTGATCTGATAATATCAAAGTTAGCTTGCCTTCTTGGTGGGCTCAACGCCATTTCAGATAGCGAAGAAATTAGTAAGGAACTAATGAGTGACGAGCTGCTTAGGGGAGATGTCTGTCGTGCAGTCGAGATGATCACACCATATGTTCCGTTTCTTGGTATCCTATCAGGTGGGATAACAACAGCAAAACACATAGCCGACCGCTCCCAAGAAATTGCATTTTTTTACGTTTGTATGTTAACAACTTTAATTCGGTAACAGCCAAATAAGACTAGACACGAACGGGACGGTGTCCCATGCTAGGTGTCAGCCCAATATATATACAGGGTGTATAAAAAAAATGCACAGATTTGAAATTGCTCTTTTAAGAGCAAAAAAAATTTAAAATTCGCAAAACAGCTATTAGTATCCAGTTTTTGATGTATATATAGCGTTTTTGGGTACTTATAATGTAGAAAAATGGAAAAAATTTCTCGAACTCAAATTTTGTAAAGCAGGGGGAGTGTCTTTTCCAACAAACTAAAAATGGCTTGCGCACGACATTTAAAAGCTTTAATCATATTTTGAGTTGATAGATGGAACATTTGTTGGATTTTTAATTACTGTCCAAAATTTCAGACAATTTGCTTTAGTTTTCTCTAAAAAAATAGCCTTTCGCATGCTTAATTAATGCCTTTACCTAATTTGCATATTGCTGACATATGCAAATTAGGCAAAGGCATTGATTACCATGCAAATGGTTGATTTTTTAAGAAAAAATGTAAGTTTGCGTGAATGGTTAAAGGGCGTAAACTGAAGCAAATTGTCTGAAATTTTGTACAGTAATTAAATACCCAACACAATTTCCATCTGTTAACTTAAAAAATGATTAAAGCTTTTAAATTTCGTGCGCAAGCCATTTTTAGTTTGTTGGAAAAGACACACATTAGAGTTCGAGAAATTTTTTCCATTTTTCTACATTATAAGTACCCAAAGAAGCTATATACATAAAAAACTGGACACTAATAGCTGTTTTGCGAATTTAAGAGCAAATTTCAAATCTGTGCAGTTTTTTTTATACACCCTGTATATATATATATATATATATATATATATATATATATATATATATATATATATATATATATATATATATATATATATATATATATATATATAAATCGCCATATTGTAAATAGATAAAAACGAATAAAAACTAAAAGTCACGTCCAAACTCGGGTACAATGCCTTCACATCACATACTCTAAGGCATTGTACCCGAGTTTGGACGTGACTTTTACAGTCGAAAAAGTATGTGAGATTTTCTACTCTAGTAGTGTAAAAGTAATTGGTATAGATACTGAAGAACTAGGACTGTATTTGGCATTGAACAAAACTGAGGCTGAATTGGCTGACCTTGACATACTGTGTTTTTGTCCGACACGTAAGACGAATAGAGGTAGGCCACCAACTATTACAGGATGTGCAATAGATAACAACAAAAATAAAAGGTTTGGACAATGGCTACCAGCCTACCACCAAAGGAAGAACCACGAGCAAACAACCCGTAGAATGTTTACTATAGCTATGAAAGTAACCCTCTTATTTGTCATAGAGAACCACATGTATACCTTTGACAACGAGATAAAGCTGCAGTCCAGGGGTGGCCCCATTGGTCTCCAACTAACTGGAGTCCTTGCACAATTATTCATGGTATGGTGGGATAGAGAGTTTGAACACAAGATGAAAGAGATTGGACTGAGGTTATGGTTGTACAAACGTTATGTGGACGATATAAATTCTATCATGAGTGTTCCCAAAATGGGGTTGAGATTTGATGGTAGTAATCTGGTCGAAGATGAAGTTGCTGGCGAAGAGGATAGGTTGATAGAGCCGGATGAAAGAGCGATGCATTTGTTCAAATCCGTTGCAGACAGCATCCATACATCTATTGAGATGGAGATTGATTGTCCGTCGCGCCATGATGACCACAAACCTCCCATACTTGATTTAAAGGTTTGGATAGAGGAGAGGAAATTGAAGGACAACTGAAGGAAAAGATTGTATTACATGAGTTTTACTCCAAGGAAGTAGCATCCAAATCTGTCGTTAATGCAAGATCAGCGTGGTCGTGGAGTAGTAAGAGAACAATACTTACACAAGAGGTGTTGAGAATCCTGCTAAATTGTAGCACAGAGTTACCATGGGAGGTGGTTGTTGGCCATGTGAACCATATGATGATGCGCCTACAATGTTCTGGCTATAATGCGAAATTTCGAATGGAGGTAGTAAACTCTGCTTTAAAAGCATATGATAACATCCGGAGACTAGATGCATGTGGTGAGAAACCTATGTATAGACCCAGACAATGGCGACGAGTAGACCGAGCTCAAGAAAAACGAAAGAAACGAGATACCTGGTATAAGAAAGGAGGATACGAAAGCGTTATTTTTGTACCAGCAACACCAAAATCGGTCCTTAAACAACGATACGAAAGAGAAGTTAGACGTATTGGACTCAACATTGAGATTGTCGAACAATCAGGTGTAACCCTCAAACGACAGTTACAACGGTCAAACCCTTTCAAAGAAAAACTGTGTCAAAGACAAGAATGTCTGATCTGTCAGAGTGGGGGGAAAGGAGAATGTAATGCAACAGGAGTCACCTACGAATTAGTTTGCCAAGAGTGTAAAGATAAATATATAGGAGAAACTTCAAGAAATGCATATAGCCGTGGTAAAGAACACTTACATTCCTTGAACCGCCGTGAAGAACAATCTGTTATGTGGAGACACGCTTGTGAAAAACATGGAGGTGATATACCATCCTTTGTTATGAATGTTACTGGTATTTTCCGTGATGATGCGATGCTGAGACAAATCACGGAAGCAGTACTTATTGGCAAAGTAAAGCACAACAAATTAATAAACACGAAGAATGAGTAGAACTATGTGAAAGTTCCCCGTGCTATTGTAACAGTAGAGTAATTATATGACTACATGAAGTTTTACCCTTTTTGAACAGAAGATTGACTATATTTGTGCTACATGAAGTTTTTATTCGTTTTTATCTATTTACAATATGGCGATTTATTGAAAAGGTCCGAAGGACGAAACTTGTTTGAAATCGCCTTTTTAATATTATTTTAATTGTATATATGGTGTAGAAAGCTGACAATAATATTTTATAATATCAATGAGTTTAAGTAAAGCTTTCCTGGCTGCAACGGCAGATATATATATATATATATATATATATATATATATATATATATATATATATATATATATATATATATATATATATATATATATATATATCGTTTTACCTAAAAAAAACCCACAACAGTCTGTTTCATCCGTATAGGAATCATCAGGTGGTGAGCAATTTCGAAAATATAGGTTGCTTTTATGCCATCGAAACATGTAGGCGAAACAATGCTTAGGCGAAACAATTAATGCTTAGGCGAAACAGTGCTTAGGCGAAACAGTGCTTAGGCGAAACAATGCTTGGGTCATAAAATTTTGCTCGCTGGCTTCCGCATCGAATATACTCGGTTAAGAAAGCGAAGAAAAACTTGAAATTACGCGTTGACCGACTTCAAGCGATGACAGGGATTATATGATCATGAACCGCTTTTCACGCCAAAAACATTACTCTCTAATAAATTGTATATATATATATATATATATATATATATATATATATATATATATATATATATATATATATATATATATATATATATATATATATATATATATATAGCGTAATATAGTTTTTCGTTTTACCTCAAAAAACCACAACAGTCTGTTTCATCCGTATAGGAATCAGGTGGTGAGTAATTTCGAAAATATAGCCAGGTTGCTTTTATGCTATCGAAAGAATGCGCGGAATGCGTGTAGGCGAACCAATGCTTAGGCGAAACAATTGATGCTTAGGCGAAACAGTGCTTAGTCGAAACAATGCTTGGGTCATAAAATTTTGTTAACGACCTTGTTTACTCGAAACCGGTTTTTGTGACGACACTTGCCGAAAATTTCGCTTCTTTTATTGAGTAAATTATCTTTGTTTATGTCTTTCAAAATGCAAAATTTTTCTTCCAAACATAAATTGCAGCGTTTTGATCCCCCTGTGTACGAAATAGCGTGTTTTAAAATTGACCATTTGATGGTATAATCCTGATTGTTTTCTTTTAATTTCCAAATATGTTTCGAAA